CCAAGGTTAGATTTAGGGTTGGGTCTAATGTTAGGGTATGGGCTAGAGCTTGTCAATATTTTCTTTCAGAAGAGCAGTTGGCGAGAATACGCCGGCTTTTGATAAATTCTCATTTTCCTTGAATTTTGCACAGGGCCACTTGTATTACCGGAAGAGAGTAGGCTCCTATTCCTTTATCTTGCCGAGTCGAGGTTAGAAATAGTGATAGTGAAGGGAGAAGAACTCTCCTGGAGATATAGTGCAAGGCTACCTGTAGCACTACCGGCGGGAGGGTTGGGGCCCTATTCCTATGTCTAGTGTCAATGTTTCCTTCGCCTCTCATCTGTCCAGAAATCCATGCCGTTTTTCTTGTCCATCATCTCAACAACATGGCTTCTGCGGCGAGGTACGTAGTCAGCCGAAGTTAGACAGGTTGTCCTGGGATACATGAGTGGTTCAAGCTTTTATATGATGCGTTGGAAAGGGCTCCAAAGTCTTACACCACTGTCCGGGGCTCTTCCGTTTGGTCTAGATTTATGCCATCGTTAAGGCACTCAGACCACAGGAGGGCGGCCGTGTGAATCTGAAAAAAGGGCACTGCGAAGTAATTTGCTAATTTGAAGGGTGTAATTGCGATAAGTGAGAGTGGAAGATAAAATGGATCGGTATTATATTCCCCCTCTCAAATGCTGCCCCTGGCAGGATGTGTTCTTAATTTTTTCATCGTCTTACTTATAAGCTTTTCGCAGCTCATTGGAATTCAGCGCTGTCTTATAAGGTCCTGCTAGAATTACACCTTCAGAGCCTTAGTTGTGGCATAGGGTGGTTACGTTCCAAACAAATTTCATTGTTTTTCCCGTCGAAGTCTGATCCGGTTGAGATTGCTAACCGAACTCGCTCGTCCTGGAAAGCTTCGGAGTTCACTTTCGGACCTCGCAAGCGGCCGGACAGGGGCTAGTAGAGTACACAAATGGAAATTTCCGGCATGGACAAGGAAGACTGAAATGGCCATTTCTGGCTCATTACTCATCTGCAGTCAGTCATACCCAACCCAAGTGGCACACAAGCCCAGGCTTGAGGCCGCGACTTGTTGATTAGAAATCCAAAGTTCAAACCCATTGAGCGGCTGGTGGCAGGGCTCGAGAGTGAGCCCCAAGGCAGAACGGGACTAGTAAGTTTCTTTATCGATCACTCAGCGCCCATCAATAGCGAATTAGTGGCTCAATGAGTTGGAGCGTTGGACTTCTAATCAACAGGTCGCGAATTGGAGCCTCGGGTGGTGCACACCATGTGGTTGAGTATGGCTGGCCGATGACGGTTAATGAGCCAGAATTTGCCATTCCACAGTTCTTTATCATCACCAAAAACTGAAATACATGACATGCGTCGAAAACAACCAAATCTTCCTGCTGTCATTGAATTGGCGTAATACTGCAGCAACTGTCCGAGGTTGGAATTTCTCCCCCAATATGTAAGCTTAAGCTGGGGTTCAGGCAATCTAGGCGACTGTGCTAGAATTCTTGTGTGGTATGTTTAAGGTTGTGTGCCTACAGCACGCCAGAGTAAAAGAACATAAAGACACACTTGAGCTTCAATTTATGCTATAATGCACCCTAAAGAATTAAATTTATTTTATTAAAGTTCCCTTGTAAGGATACACCATCTTATTAGCCTCTACTTTGTTTTAAAAGCAAATAATGTTCATGTGCTACTCGAAAATCCGTACCGTTATTATTTTTTGAAAGTTCTATATACAGAACGAAACGCAACACTTATGAAACAACTGACGGAGCAAACGGTTGATTCACTTCGACCTTAACATGATTTTTGTTAAATACATTACCTAGCTAGTGTTTCCGAGATAAGCTGAAAGTTGATCCTCAAAAAACGACACGTGTGCCTTAGGCTACTCAAATCTGAACGGTTCAAGTTATCGCGCAAGGACAGTGAGCATATGGAAGTTTTATAATTTCTTTGATTGAGGAGTTGAGAAGTGCAGATAAAACATTTCAGCCAAGTGGGTGGATTACCCTGTTTGTAAAAATCTTTTAAATTGTCTGCTATTTAGCAGCTTTTCTTGCCGAAACCTAGTTGTAGATATGAGATAGAAAAACAATTTGATGCCGAAACGAAAGAAACTGGTGTAGACATGCGAAAATTATGAATGAAAACGGAGCTAATCTCAATTATAGTTTTGCAAAGCTATGCGAATTCATTAAAATCAATTTACAAGAAATGATTTCCTGAAAGGTGCAAGTAGACCCGTTGCATACAGCCCCTTTTCTGTACCATTCTGGTATGATGATAAACCAACATAATATCCAAGGACTCAGTGGAAGGTCCGGCGCCTCGTTTTAGCCCTTTGGATTAGTTCACCTGCTCAAAATTGACAAAAAAGGCATCTCGGTGGTTTTCATTTGAGAGATTAAAGTCCGAGATATATGTGAATAGCGTTATAACCTCGTCATCCTACTCTGACCAGGTAGAACATATCCTTATGTTTTTACTTAAATTCATGCACTGACTCCGGTGAAATCAATTTTGACTGGCACACCTTGTGTGACGAACTGGAGAGAAGATCACTTCAGGTAGGATATTGCAATAAGTCCCAAACGTGCTTTATTCCGCATGATATATGCATCCAATTAAACTACCTAATTCTAATTTTAGTGCACATTTAGTTCCGATCAACGTTTTTTAAGGAAGTGTATACAGTCGAAACCCTTTGGGCACCTTGTGCTTGCATATGTATGCAAAATTAAAGTTTCCGAAATATTTACTTCAAATGCTGCGTGTTTGCATTTGCGTTTTTGCACGACTTAGTCGTGCCCTATTGAGCAGCAGTTAACACGGCTTTAAAGAAGTTGAAAAGAAGCTTTTCCACGGTCGCCTTGACTTTAAAAAAATGTTAACTTCTCATAAAGCTTCTGTACTGAGAGAAGAATACGTTACTAGAAAAGTTCGTTCTTTACACAGTTTGAAACAATGTCAAAAGATGCGAAAACACAAGTGTTTGTTCAACCACTGTGAAACAAAACCTGCAAAAGGTGTTCATAGAAGGGAGAAAAAACGTTGGTACAACTTCAAAAAGTCAGCACACATTTTAGTTAGACAAATTTCCTTCGTAGGAAAGTTACTTTGATTTTAAAAATCGTGAGCATCATGCGTAGGAATATTAAAATGTCATGGGAACACCTTAGCAATATTATACAATAGGGTAAAATATAAAAGGAAACCCTAATCACACTTA